GACAAGAGCACAATTATGCACATACATTTTTATTATTAAAATCTAATTAAATCAAGTGTTACCTGCATCCATCAATAGATTGAATTCTTTTACACAGCTGCATATGTAAGTATTAAGGGTGCAAAATGGGCCATATTCAATTCAGATTCGTCCCAAATTGGGGACAGTGATTTGATGAGTTGATTCAGATCACTATCCGTGATTTGATTCGGCCAAATCTGAATCTGAAGATTCGATGCTGATTCAGAGAATCAGCAATTCAGCCATAGACACAGCTTTAAATGTTTTTTCTATGTACCTCGAGGTACCAGGTGTGGCTCGTGAACGCTGTGATGGTGGAGCGGATGGAGCATCCCACAGGAGTGTAGGGGGGGCCCCCACATGCTTGGCGGCAAACCTGGAAGTGGACTGAAAGTACTTCCAGTCCACCTTCAGGTCCGCCACCAAGCACGCAGGGGGGCCCCCACGCTGCCCTGGATCAGTGATCCATTTTCAATGATGGACTTGGCACAAATTTATAGGACCCCAGGTGCCCCCCCAGACCCAGGAGTCATGAGTCGCTGAGCTGGGGGGGGGGGGGGGGCCCCAAGAGCAGACCCAGAAGTGGACTGGAAGTGCTTCTGGTCCACATCTGGGCCTGCTGCCAAGCATGCTGGGGACCCCTCCACATTCCTGTGAATTGCTCCACCTGCCCCACCATCTCAGCATTCACAAGCCACCTAGTACCTTGAGGTATGTAGAAAAAACATTTAAAACTCTGTCTATGTCCAAATCATCGAATCTTTCTGAATCAATTTGGAGGGTTCTGATTTGATTTGTAGAGATTAAAGGGTCTCCTAATTTGATTTGGATTCAGAGATTCAGCCACTGAATCAGGCCGAATCTCCACCAAATCAAATCAGAGACCAAAGCTTTGCACAGCCCTAGTAAGTATGTACATCATTTGTACATTATTTTGAAATTGAATTATTCCAAATTATTTTGAAACATTGTTTTTCATGTGATTTAGGAATCCAAATCTTATTTTCAGGAATACCTAAGACACTTTTGAAAATCAGGGTCAGTCTTGTAAGTCACTGATATATAGGGGTTACTTATAATGACACTTAGACCTGTTCCTTGTATGTGTGCATTCATGTGTTTAAAAGCACTATCTTTCACACCTTATTCCACATTATCTTCTTTGTTTAACCTTTGCATATTTTTTCATGATTAAAATCACTACCACACCTTCTAGATCTATCTCCTTTTATAAACAGAAAAAGTTTCTGTTTTGTATTTCACACCTGTGAGATCACAATCACTTTCAGCCTCTCAAAAGAATGGAGAGTACAGCAGGTGTAGTCTTTCTTTCTATTCCCAAAATCAAATGAACAAAAATCTTTAAGAAGACTTCTGTTTCATTCTGTCTTCTGTTCTTATCACTGAAACCATCAGAATCATTTCAGCAATATATGGGATCAACAAAAAAGTGGATTCTTTTACAATCCAAGTTAGAAAAAAATAACTGTCAAGCATAAAATGAACTCGAAGATTAAAACTACTTCAAGACTACAAATAGAAACTGCTCAGAACATAACGTGCTGTACCCAAGACATGAAGTATAACCTCAGAGTTCATGGTCTGGTCAGTCTTTTTAGTCATTAGAAAATAAAATTAGTTTGAGTAAGACACCTGCAGCCATTTTATTTCTACTTATGGCTCAATTTGGAAAAAATTCCTCCTTCTGCTTATTGCATTGCTTTGTAACTACACAACAACAATTCAGATACAAATATCTACTTTTTCTTATATTAATTATATTGGCTTGTATGTGCTACCAGAAGCTAGATGATAAGTGCACCTGGGGTTTTAAAATATGGTAGCCTTAATATCAACTAGATATATTCTTCTTGTCTTTAGAAAGCACAGATTAGGAAATAGATTCCCTATAACCTTTGTAGAAATTATCTTTCTCTCATTTCCTACCTTCACCAAAAACAACTGGTTTTGAATAGAATCCAAACACTGAAAAATCATCCAAAGAATAGTAAGGACTCATCAAAGGGGAAGAGACAACTAAATTAATTGCAGCAATTTCCTTTAGCCACTGTAATAACAAGAGCTTTTAAGTTGCTGTGTGGGAGTGGCACCCTCTGAGAGTTAGAGGGTGATCTAGAAATGGGAATGCAGCTGACCATTTATATTCCTTTTCTGGTTCAGTGAAATTTGCTAAGCTAATGAGAAACATTTACTAAAAACCATATCATTCACTTCACAAGCTTAAGTTCCTTGAGCTGGCTCCTCTTGAAGAATGGGCTCTTATTGAATAATGACACCAACTAAAACACTGTGCACCAGGAAAGTCTCACACAGGCAACGTTTTAAAGACACTTGTAGTGGACAAAATGATCCTTTGTGTTTATACAAAACATAGTTATATGAATTAATCTACCATGCATACTTAACAGTAAGTTCTGCTGACATGTATACTGCTATTGGAAATGTTATGACAGAACATTTTTCAATTAGAAAATGTCACATAAATATATTTTAATTGTTTCAGAGAATGTATCAAATTAAGGAAAACTCCAGAAGAAAGTTTCAAGGGTTCTGCTGAAACTTGTCTTCTGTGCCACCAAATCCCCCACCCTGGCCATTGGCCATAGCCCACATATAGACATTCAGTTTCTCCTGCGAGAGCCATTACTCTCCCAGGAGAAATTATGTGAAAAATGTTCACCTACAGGAGAAAGATTTCAGGATTTTTTTCCCAGAGCAAAAATGGCTTCTCAAAGAGAAAAACAACCTGGGAACAGCCAGGGTTAAATCACTTTTGGTAGAGTTTCTCCTATGAAAGCGAATGTCTGTACAACGTACCCTTCTGCGAGAATCCACAACACGGTCCTCTAGCATTCCAGGGTGCTTTGTTCCCACCTCCTCCTCCCCCTCCCCCCAAGATAGTTTGTCCCTCAGGCCAGACTCTGCCACTTCAGCCAAGCAGGGAGCAGAACATGCTATTTCACAATTCCACATTTTGCTGCAGAGACACAAAGACCAACCCTGACCAGGGCTGCCCTGTGCACTGTTGCTATCTGCTGCCAGACAGACTGAGGGAGTCTGCAGAATATACTGAGAAGTGTGCACAGGGGGCCCCTGGCTGTGCAGCATCAGCACTGCAAGATCTCTGCTCTTCAGGGGCTCAGCATGCAAATGCCTGTTCAGGGGTCTCCAGGTAAATTTCTCTAGGCCTTCATTTCCAAATTTCAATGACATATTTTATTTTGTGTTGAATTAAATAACTCAGCTGACCTAAAACAAACAGCGAGTTAGGTTGAGCGGAAAGTTTTTTTTTTCCTTGGGGGGGCGGGGGGAGGAAGGAAAGCATAGAATTTTAAATAAACAGTAATTCAAACTTCTTTTGAAGAAGTTTAAAAAAGCTTTAAATCAGCATCTGAGCTCATCTGAACTGAATTAGGCCTATCCAACTATCTCATCATCCTTTATTATAGTAGACCTGATCTGGATGTCATAGTTTATGAAAGTAAAACAAATCACAACCTATTTTTTCTAATTATTCAAATAAAATGACAGAAATTAGAAAGGAGAAAATATATAGTCAGTGTATATTATAATAAGGAGGAAAAAATACTTTATAATACTATGGAATACATTTGAAAATAGACATTTTAGTTTTCCATGACTTATAATGAAATTTAATTTACTTTCTTTTTTTATTTTTTTAATCTAGTTATTGAGAAAGAACCTCTTAGCTTGTAAGCAGGAAGAAAAGCTTTGATTCAGCAAGGAAATAGAACTCCAGTACACAGCAAAAACCTTATCTAAGGCATCTGTCCATGAATAGTATACATATATATATATATATATATATATATGAAACATAAATAAATGATTTTACCAATACTAAAAACAGTGTTGAATTTCTTCAATCCCCTGTCTTGGAGAAATTGTGTAGAGTGCCAGATCCAGAGACAGAAAATAAAAACTTTGATATTGCTCACATGGAGTTCTAGGCATAAGAACTATCTAGAGGACATTAACATACATAGATAATCAGTATGCTCAGACAATCAAAAGTTTAGAGAGTTTGGAATCAATAAACAGGGTGTTTGATGGAGTTGGAGGATCAGATCATCAAATAGCAAAATACCAGATAAATACAAACATACCAAAATACCAAAAAAACAGGTACTCCAACCAATTTAAGACATCTATGGAACTGTACTACTGAACAATGTTTTTCTACTGACAAGCTAATATGTCTACCTTTAATTGTGATGCCCATTTCAATAAATAAATAAACAAATAAAACTACCACTTAAGAATTGTTTTGCAATATTACTTGCAAATAAAAATCTTCCAGGAAAGCTGGAAATAAACAGTCACCATGCTTCTAAAGAACATGCTCAAATGCATCAGATGGCAAGCTAAATAAGTAACTTTCAAACGGTCAATGATATGAGATTGGCAAAACCTGGAATACAATAAGTAGTTGTGGTCCTCTGCTCTAAAGGCCATGGGAAGTGCAGCAGAAGACCAAGCTAGCTGAAAAGCAATCTCTACAATGACATGAAACTAAAAAAAAAAATCTTACAAAAAGTTGAAATCTTGTTCATATCACTAGGGAAGAACATAAGAGTATTGCACAGGGATGCCAGGAGAAAAATCAGAAAGTAAGGGGGAAGACCAAGGAAAGTGTAGGTTCCTTAGCGAATGCAGAAAACAGTCTAGACACAGATAAGAAAGGTAAAATATTTAATGCCTTCTTTACTTGTGTCACAGAGCACTAAGGTGTGCCAGCTCCCGTAAGGCTAGAAGCAGCCTAGCAAAGGGGCCCTGTAGGCTAGGCAAAGCTCCACAGCTGCAGGGTGCCTGAGTAATAGGCTAATGAGATAATTCACAGGTATCTGCAGGCAGTCAACTGACCAGAAGGAGGAAGGGCCCTGGGTACATATAAGCTCAGGGCTGAGACTGGCAGAGTTCACTTTCTCTGGCAACTGCCAGGTGAAGGAGCTCCTGCACAAGAGAGCTACCCTGAGACATTTTGCTGCCTGTTTTGCTACATCTGAGTGTCGTAAGACTCCAGGAGCCCACAAGGTACCCAGGGCTAGGGGCCATGCTATCCTAGGGGTAGAAGTTTGCCCTGTCAAAGGGACAGAGTGCTGCCTTTATTGTTAGTGTTACATTATAGCCCAGGGGTTTATGTTTGTGTTATTGTTTGTACTGGGGGGTTTGGGGATGAGTCTGTAAGGGTAGGTATGGAGGCCTCACTAGTGCCCAGAGGGGGCATGCAATTCTCTTGGGCCCTGCCAGAAGTGGGCGCAAGGCTTGAGCAGTTAGAAAACCCACACAAGGCAAAGGGGTGCAGCAGACAGGGGCCAGGGAGCCCGGTGCCAGAAGGTCACAACAGAGACAGGGGCCAGAGAGCCCGGTGACAAGAACAGGTGACAGGAGCTAGTGCCTTGGAGCCAGGTCCGATACAGTGGGCCTTGGCTAGAAGGCCCAGCCAGATTAAAGGGGTGGAGGCCAAGTAGGCCGAGGCCCCCGAAGAGGGAATCTGTGTAGCATCTGGAAGGCATGAGGCATGGTAAAGGGGTGGTTTGGAGCCACGCAATTAGCCCATAAGGCTTGAGGTGCCCCATATGGCACAGTATTGAAGAGAGGTCCAGTGAAACGCTCAAGGACCACTGAGTTCTAGTGAGGTTCAGTGGACCAGGGCCATGCAAAGGCCCCTGGGCAGTCTCCTGATTTATTTTACCAGCAAGACGTGGCAGATGAGACAAGAGGACACCCACAGTGCAGATTTGGCACAGTCGCGGAGCTGCCAGGGGTATCATAGCCACCCCTGGGGATCCCACCCCGTGACAACTTGTCTTCACAAATAAGGTCCAAAGAGCTGGGAAGGAGATACACAGCACAGTACTTGAAGAACAGATTATGGAGTACTTAGAGAATATTTTCAAATCAGCAGGATAGAAAGGTGCTCTCTGTAGAGTACTGAAGGAACTGACTATGGTCATTTCAGAGCGCTGCCTATCACAGAAACCTCATACATGTTACCTGAGGTCCCAGATGTCTGGAAAAGGACAATTAAAGTCTTCATCTTTAAGAAGATGGCAAGGAGGATTTGCGGTATTAGAGACAAGTAAGTCTAACATCAATATCAGAAAATGTTATGAAACAGTTCATCAAGGAATCTATTTCTAAGAACTTGGAAAAGAACAAGGTGATCAAGAACAGCCAGCATGCATTCACAAACAGCAAGTCATGACTGAGCAAATTGATTTCATTCTGTGACAAAAAGTGACAGGCTCTGTGGATTGGGGAGAGCAGTGAATTTGACCTTGTCTTTAGCAAGTATGAATGAATGAGCTGCAGGAGAAATACAGGGTTTTTTTCCAGAGTAGAAGTTGCACAGAATGATATTAGAATATATCCAATGAAATATTTTTGAACAAATATAAATAAAAAATAGAACAAAAACATATAACATGCACTTCAGTGAGTGACATAAAGAGACTGAATGGGACCTTGCTTTCTGTACAGGTGAAATTATAAAAACCTCATGGTTAGAGTGCGTATAAACCAGCAGAAATAGAAAGACAAAAAAGAAAAGAATGAGTGGAACTTGTTGCTAAGATTCTTGTTGCAGCTAAACAGGCCCCTAAATCAACAAAACTGACACGTGATATACAAAGAATGAGGGCATAAAAAGCAAAATACTAATGAATTATAATTCATTTAAAATATTGATGGAAGAACTCTATTGAATTACAAGGTATCTTGTGTGAGGCTTTGGGGAAGACTGAACAATATAGATAGTATTGCTGCAAGATAAAAATTTTCATCTATCAAAGGATATTTTTGCAAATGAAGACATTAGAAACAAGTGACTAGAATAATTATAAACTATAATAAGCAAGTACCATATCAAATCATGCTGTTCAAGGAAAGTCCAGCTGAGCCTAATGTATCTTACAGCCAAAGGCACACAATGGTATGATGTGGCCAGCAGCATGTCTAGACACCTTTATAGTACTGCTCAGTGATCTAGTAAATAATCCCTGTGCACTCTTGATGATGCAACTTCTATTTACAGTGATCAGTACCATTTTCACTAGGATAGTATGCTACAGTAGCAGCTTCTTCAAAAATGACTTTTCTTCTGAAGTATTAGGCACTGTTCAGTGGCAGAAGCAGGAAACTGGACTTGGTGAACAAATACTTTCATCTAGTATAGTAAAACAAATCTAATGTTATGATCCCAGAGCTAGAAAGCATGGAGAAGAATAAGTTTAAGATTAGAGATGGGATATATGGGCAAGCCTTTGGATGACGTCAAGAAACCAAATGTATAATATTTTGAACAGACTCTATTATTCTGTTACACTATATGCAAAATTCAACTGGATGGATACAGTATCGGACTTAACAGCTTTAGGTTAAACCAGTCTATCCAACTTCTGTCCTAGTTCCCCTCCCAATTCAAGTTAGGTCCAAGTCCTCCTGCATCCCAGGATGCCCTGCACCTCCCCCAACCCCCCCTTGCAGGGCAGGTGGGCCAGCCTGAGCTGTGCCATCTTCTTTAGTGGAGTCAGGCAGGTCCCACCCCTGGGCTGTCACAGAACTGAGGCAGCAAAGCCTCTGATCCCTAGCCAGTGTTACTGCCTGTACCTGTCTGCCCAGCAGGATGAGGGAGGGAAGGGGAACAGACCCCCTCCCCCAACCCCAGCTCCACCCCTGAGCCCTGGTCTGCCCAGCTGTTGGGCAGAGTGTGATTTCCTCAACCACCCCAATCCTTGCATTCAGCCCACCCCCACAGGTAGGAGCTGGGAAGCAGTCCTTTAGGCCAACACCAGCCCTGGCAGCAAGGTGGCTGCCCATGTGGGGAAGCCCCCAGTTCAGGAGGTTTCCTGCCCCAGTCCAGTGTCCACTGAACCAAGGACTGCCTTGCCATATGGGAGCAGATGGGATTCCCCTCCCCTGTGGTGTGGCTGATGCTTGGCCTGCCCTGCAGTTGGGAGTGGGTAAACTATCTCTATCCCCTGGGGCAGCACACGTGGGGGGAGCCCCCACCTTAGGGGTGTTCCCCCACCCCAGCATGGGATCCCCCAAGCCTTTCATTGTGGGTGTCAAGGGGGTTTCCCCTGCCTCCAACACACACACACACACATACACACACACACACACACACACACACACACACACACACACACACACACACTTTCTCTCTCTCTCTCTCTCTCCCCTGCTGCACATTCCAGTCAATGCTTGGCCCACCCTGCAAGTGGGAAGGGGGAAGCAGTCCCCCATCCCAGTAGCCAGCAAGCTACTGTCCAGGTGGGGGGAGCCCCCCCAGCTGTGGAGACAGGAGACTGCTTCCCTTCTCAGCTGGGCTCACAATGGCCAGCAGGATGGGAAGTGGGCTCTAGTGCTCCCCCTGCCTTTTGGCCTGGGCTAATCCAGGCAACTGGTCACCTTTCCCAACTGAAAAGTGAACATCAGTTCACTTCATTATCAGTTTAATCTATGCAGTTTAGAGAAACCTGTGAAGACTGAATTGATTCCACCTTTGGCTTTTTTATTGTCTCTACTTAACCTTTATGTGCAAGAAACAAAGTTTCTTGGGGCCATTTCCAGATGGTGGCACAAAACCCTAGAGGAACTAATAATAGTTAGGCTGCTGACAGACATTAATCTCACAAGCGAGATCTGAGGAATTTTATTGCAATTAGAAAAATCATACATCCTGACATGTGATTTTTAGTATCCGGGATAAAATTCCTCAGATTCCAATCATATTACTGCTGGCCCATAAAAAACTTAGCATCAGGGACTGGTCTCTAATGCCAGGCTCCCTGCACCCCAGACCTTCAAAGGGCACCTCAGGAAGCAGAAGATCAGAGACCAATCCCCCAGTGCCATACTTCCTGTGGCTCCCCATCATCTTACTAGCATCCAGATGTTTAAAGGCATATTTATACAGCTCAGCATGGTGGAACTGGTTCCCCCATGACAGGCTGCACAGAACACCTTCAAAGGTCTGAGTATGCAAGGAACTTGAGATGGGAGCACTGCTCTGGATCTTAGGATCCTGCACATTACATGCTAAACATACAAATTTAAAGTACAATACAAACTAGCAACAAAGATGTTCCACATTTAATGGAATATCTTTAATGTGGCATATCTCTGTGGAACATCTTTAATGTGGAACATTTTATTGCACCATAGATTGCTTGAGCATGTGGCATATTGCAGTTTAATGATACCATAAGTATAACATCTACCATGGCTTCACAGATTTCATTGCTTTTCATTCAAAGTGTAGAGTACACTTTTAAAGCTCCCTAATGTAATCCATAAGAGCATGTACATATTAACAAAACCAAAATGAAAAATACATAGCCAAATCAAAACACTTAATTTCACAAAATTCTCTCTCTCTGGGGAAATAATGAAAGAAGTTGCCCACATCTCTTATAGCACTATAAGAAGGTACTCAGATACTGTAATGACAAGGGCACCACAAGAACCTGTGTAGGATTCAAAGTATCTTTTACATCTCTTCAATAACTTATATAGATCTTAAAAGTCTCTGTATTACTGGATATAATACATCTGAATTTTCTAATGAATAACTCATTTAAAGAGAAAATTAATTTACTTGCAAGTGGAATAAAATTTGGGGCTGGAATTATAGCTGGGCATATTAACAGGTATAAAACTATTTACCCACAACATAAGCAAATGATAAAAGATATTACCACCAAGTAAAGCATGAAAGTAAATTTATGTGTAATGAGGAAAAAGAAAAATGGGTAAGCAGAGGTGGTTCTGCAATAAATACAACTACAAGAGGTGGTTGTACAATAGTCTACAATACTATTGTTTGGACTTCTCCTAAAATGTTTAAAAAAAACTGTTCCTTGGAAAGCTCTGTGGTTCATTACAGCCAATGACCATTTCTAAAAGAGAAGTCAGAGTAGTGATGCATATTATAGACTAACTAAATCATAGAATTATACATCTCTATTTAGTTAGTCTATAAGGTGTATCTCTACCCTGTCTTTTAATTACCTCTCTTCTGAGAGAGAGGTGTTATTCCATCATAGTTTAATCTTCTAATAAATAGATTCCCCCCCCCCCACAACCTGCCCAGAAAAAAGAACTTTGGGGCTTCTTTTAACACTTTTTAATTAAATACTACTAATGCTGATGCTTGATTGTTGTCTCTCTGCTTACTGTCGCCAATACAAAAGCCTTTTCAAAATATATATTAGTGGATGAACAATGAACTCTTAGGGCATGTCTATAACATATCAAACTGCTAGGGAACACCACCATGAATACATGCCCAGTTCATTGGCTCCCACTCTGTGTGCACCATGTGCCAAAACACCATAATAACATAGTCACTTTTAGAGTGACACTGAACGCATCCAGGACTATTTAAATAAGATTGCCCAAGCACGACAACAGCACTGTGTATTCCCAGAACACACGCCAAAATGCAGCTACGTGACATTTTTCAGCATACAGGGAAGAGGAGAAAGTAGACAGGGCATAATTTTATGGCGGTGTTCCCTAGCATGGTAGAACATGCTATAGGTATGTCCTTAAGTAAATAGATCAAATCTGTAGCTAGTTACAACCAAAAGAATGTTATCCATTTTTAATAAATTGAATGTGAAGTTGCTCCTGTTCTATCTGACAAAGGAAAACAAAAGTCAAGCCAATAATTCATAGAATAACATGGACAGGCTACTACTAGTTGCTAAACAATATATTCTTTAGGGGAAGTGGGATTAAAGCCTCAACATTCAGAAGCAGGTCTGGGATCAGATTTCAAATACATCCCACCATGGAAATTTTGGAGTCCAGTTGGCTTCAGGTTACCAGTTTGGGCCCAAAACCTATAAACGCTGTTGCACATTAGCAACTGTCAACGTAGGTAGTCCCACTGAACCCACTGGAAACTACACATATGCAGTGTTTGCAGAAAAATGGCCTTATAAATTAAAGCTAGATGCACGTTCCGATATGTGAATTGACACACACATGTTTCAGGGATGTTTATGTATAAAAAGCTATGTCAGATAATCTTCACAGTGATGTGATTTTTAAAATTGCTAAAAGTAAATTATAGCTGTTACACCAAGAACAATCTGCTTATCATATATTGTTCAAAATATTTTCTTCTTAAGATTAAAGGAAACTTTACTCCCTGTAAACAGTATTTTTGGGGCAGTTTTATTTTTGTAAAGATCCCGCTTTTGATCCAAAACAATTAATGTATTTTGTTAACGTATATGAATTCTACAGCTATTCCTACTCTTACTAATTTGTCATTTATATATAATAACAAGTGTGTATTAGTTGTACTTTCATTTTTCTAGACATGATCAAACGTAAGTGCTGTGCATGTCATATGATATTTACAAATACAGAATAAAATGTGTAACTCCAGCTATGTTCATACTGCAGAAATTGCTGATCATTACCTATTTAAATCAATTCTAAAAAATGGCCTCTGCAAGCATTTAATTATTTTTAAAACTGCTTGTTGTAGATGTATACTTTGTTTCCTCCTTTTCTCACAATTTTGGGAGGAGTGCTAAAGTTGGTAAATATTGTTTTTAACTAGGCTAACAAAAATGAGAAACAAGTTTGTACATAGGCCATTAAAACAGTAAAAGCCAGACAGACATAAGAAAGGTCTCTCATTTTTCAAGCCACTCATCTATCTCAAGGTTTTTATTCCTGAAGGTCTGAGTTACATTTATTGATAAAAAGAAGGGAAATATCACTCTTACATTACCAAACATCAAAGAGAAAAATTCCCAGTCTTGGTCACAACCTTGGCACTTAACTAAATGCAGAATACTACTTATTTATTACCTCACATACAACCAAAAATTGTACTAGGTGCCTCTCCACATGGATGAAAAGAAAAGATTGCTCAGAAGAAATACAAGTTCTTTGCGGTAATTTGCTGTAAGAAGCTTGACAACCAATGTGAGATATGTCAACATGATGAGCAAAGACATGGTTCAGGAATTAATGAAAGGGGATTGCAAAGTTAAAGTATAGGTGCATACATGAAATCTGGTCCTCTGTTGTTAAGCTGAATCCAAATCCAGAAAAAAAAATCTTTTTGGATAGGGTATTAGAAATCTGCTTACAAACTTAGTTCTGAATTCTGTGATGCAAAACCCATCTCTTTCAATTACCTGTATGTAGGTCTTTTTAGAAACAGGCTTAATTATTTATTCCCATGTCATGTTTGGGTTTTTTTCCCTTCAGTTTTTCTCATGGTCCTTCAATAGACTCATACTATGGGCATGTACAGAGGTTACATTTTTTGCACAATGAGGCCCCTGAAATTGCTCTATAGCCATAATGTAACAAATGTTTATGGCTGCAGAGTGCTTTTAAAATGGCCAATCATGCAAGATTTAACCCTCGTTTGATGAGCTATCAGATGAAAGCACTGTAGGACAAGGCACAGATGGAGGCAAGAAGCTGACAGTGAGAGGGAGAGAGACAGCTGCCACTGTGAGTGGTCTGGGGGTGGTCAAGGGAAGAGCACCATCTTGCCTTTTTGGATTCTTATTTTTTCTTTTGTGTTTCTCTTCAGGGCTTCACTTTTTTTTTTTTTTTTTTTTTTTTCTCACTGTACCAGGAAGGTGAAGGCAAAAAGGAAGCTCCCTCTTTACAAGAGCCCTATGGATCCCAGCCCTGAGGATCAAGCTGGAGTGGAACTGCTTTAAGGAAGCGTTGTTAGCCCTGCAAGGGAGCAATGTAATTTGACCCACCCCCAACAAATGGGGATGAATTGATTTAAGTTGATAATTTTATGGACACCTGATGAACTTAACTACATTGAGTGACCCATGAATCTGGGATGGATTTAATTTAAGTTGATTAACTTAAATTAACTGCCAGCAGCACTGCTGGTTGATGCAAGATTCAGACCCAGATATGTATCATCTGACTGGATGGGGTGTAAGGGGAGGAGGAGTCCCATGAAGAAAACCCACCTGGGAGACTTGGCAAAACTGTCACCCAGCCTATATCCAACTCCCAACAAGCAAAAATGTATATCAAGATGTGGCATGCAAGAGAGGAACATCTTAGGTTGGTAGTGGTGGTACTATCTGGTTTGCTCCAACAGCATACTTAAGTAAGGTGTCCAGCAGGTGAGAGCCCCAGCCTTATAATACGCACCCCCAACAACAGGTTTACAGCACGGGTTACTTTCAGGTGATTCTGCCTGCATCCCATGTGCCTTTGTGCCAGGAGGAGGGAAGGAGTGATGGTGTCTCTGCCCACAGTGCCCTGAGGACCAGGGGAGCTGGCAGCCCAGTGGAGCATGCTATAGGGGGGAGGAGTCTCTCCCCCACTTGCTCCCCCAGGACCAGTGATCAGCTTAGTCAGGCTCACTGAAGGGGGAGGGGTCAATCCCTCCTGCTTAATCCTCTGGGACCAGGAAAGTGATCAGCCTGGCCAGGCATGCTATGCGGGGAGGAGTCTCTTCTTCTGCTTGCTCCTCCACGGCTGGGGAAGCAAGTGCGGGGAGAAACTCCTGTCATCACAACATCTCATCCCTTCCTCCAGTCAGGCTGGGGCTCTCAGGTGGCTGGAGAGAGGAGGTGGGGCTGGGATGAGAGACTTTCACTAACAGCCCAAGAGCGGAGCTGACCACAGCAGCCCCAGGCAGGCAAGCTACTCGGCTATGGCTATCCCCTTCCACTGCTGTCGACAGTCTCCAGCAGTCCCCAGAGCTTGCAGAGCATGCTGGAGAGGCACTTGGTACACACCTCCTGGCCTCAGGCAGTGCAGGGAGGCTTTGAACCACACACCCCCACATATACACCAAATACCGAAAGGCTGTTATGTGCAATCACTCTGTAACATTTGGCACTTTGTATAAAGCTGAAAAGTTACAGTTCAATCACAAAGGCCTTCTGGCACTTCTGTACACCCTATATAACAGAACAGAGAATTTGCCTTTTGGCAAGCTAGCTTCCTTTTCTGTTTTCCACACTACAGAGTGCATTTTCAGACATTAAAGACATAAATTCACCATTAATGCAAGTAAGCACATTTCTACTGATTTGATCTCAATGGATCAGGCACAGGGGTTTCTTCTTGACATGTATCTTTTCTCTAAGTTATATTCTTCTCTTAAATGTCACATCCTATGCAGCCCTGATCATTTCCATGCTCAGAGGGCTCTGACTATACCTTGGTTTACGTGTCTAGTTTCTAATCCTCCACCATTAGAGAAAACAATAATGGAAAGACCGGATATTAGTATTCAGAGAACTTGACTATTTGATTATCATCAGGACATTGGCTTTATGAGGTGGAGGAAGGGGATTTCACCATACTGGGCTGTATCTTCAGAACAGGAAGGATGCTTTCAAAATAGCAATTCATAAAATACCTCTACTTTATTATCAAAAAGAGGAATTTTAAATGCATATTACTAATTCATTTCTGTCTAAACAGAAGCTCTAATTTCCTTGAGAAAAGTGACTCAAAGCAACTAGGTTGACTAATATTCACAGCATAATAATTACAATTAGGAATGAATTAACTGGTGTCTACTCTGCGTGCTTGTCTACAACAGCTCCTTAACGCTCTTCTATATGCAAGAAGACCACAATGCTGGATCCCATCCTTAATTCAAGTTCTTTTTCAATTTCTCTCAGTGCCTTTGAAAATTTCTTCTATTTCCAAATGAGATGTCAACATACTACTTTCCATGAATTCCTATACTTCTGGACCAATGAGGAAGGATAGCTTCTCACTCTTTTGTAGAGAAAAATCACACATCATGTATTAAGTAGAGCTTTCACTTTAGTTATAAAAATGCTAGCCATAAAAATTTCTTAAGCATCGACAAAGGCCACCACATTTCCATCTTCCACATTATTCCAGGTCAAAACCCAGGCATTTATATGGACCAACTTATTCCCTGCTATAGTTCTTTGACATCATTCTTCTCTTTACTCATTCTCTCCCTTACTCCCATGATTTTTAAAGTGAGAGAATGTTTTAAATAGGAACATTTTAATGATCTTTTATTGGTTTTCTATTAGATTTTTGAAGTGTCAAACTATAATACTTATATTAGGAGGAACTCCAGAGAATGACCTTTAGGTACAGTCTACATCAGATTTCTCCTCTTTGTGAGGAAGTCATAGTTCTCTCTTTATCCCAGTCAATTCCCTGGAATTTCAGAACCACAAGCAGGTAACCCACAGTTCTTCAAGAGAGAAATGTTTTGAATTGTTTAGAATAACAGTGTTTTGTAGTGCTTAGAATAAAAGAGACTTGGTGGGATAGCTCACATGACTGTAGCACTGTCAAAGGATGTGTACAAACTGTTCAGGAAAGACAGGCAGGGGAGAAGAGGAGGAGGAGTTGTACTTTATGTAAAAGAACCATATGGTTGCTCAGAGCTGCAGTATGTAACTGGAGATAGGCCTGTTGAGAGTCTCTGGGTTAGGGGCAGAGGGCAGAGCAACAAGGGTGATGTTGTGGTGAAGGTTCTGCTATAGACCACCAGACCAGGAGGATGTGGTGGATGAGGGTTTCTTCAAACAGCTAGCAGAAATTTCTATTCCACAGGCACTGGTTCTCTTGGGGGGGACTTCAGTCACCCTGACATCTGCTGGGAGGGCAATACAACAGTACTCGGGCAATCCAAGAAGGTTTTGTAAAGTATTGAGGACAACTTCCTGGTGCAAGTGCTAGAGCAGCCAACTTGAGTCCATGCTCTTCTTGACCTACTGCTCACAAATAGGGATGAATTGGTGGGGAATGTAGTAGGGGATGGCAACTTGGGCAACAGTGACCACAAGATGATAGAGTTCAGGATCCTGAAGAAAGGAAGGATGGAGAGCAGCAGAGTAAGGACCCTGAGCTACAGAAAAGCAAACTTCAGCTCGCTCAGAGAACTCATGGGCAGGGTTTCCTGGAAAGCTAGTCTGAAGGGGAGAGGAGTCCAGGAGGGCTGGCTATACTTTAAAGAAGCCTTATTGAGAGTAAAGGAACAAACCATCCTGATGCACAGGAAGAGTAGTAAGTATGGCAGAAGACAAGCTTGGCTTAGTAGGGAACTCTTCAGTAAATGAAATCACAAAAAGGAAGCTTATAAGAAGTGGAAACTTGGACAAACAACTAGGGAAGAATATAAGAGCATTGCTCGGGCATGCAGGGACTAAGTTAGCAAGGCTAAAGCACAACTGGACTTGCAGCTAGCAAGGGATGTGAAGGATAACAAGAAGGGCTTCTACAAGTATGCTGGTAGCAAGAGGAGGATCAGGGAAAGTGTGGGTCCCTTATTGAATGGGGGAGGCAACCTTGTGACAGAGGATTCAGAAAAGGCTGAAGTGCTCAATGCCTTCTTTGCCTCTGTCTCCACAGGCAAGGTCAGCTCCAAGACTACCACACCAGGCAGCACAATTTGGGGAGGAGGTGGGCAGTCAACAGTGGCAAAAGAACAGGTTAGGGACTATTTAGAGAAGCTGGATGTGCACAAGTCCATGAGGAAGGATGGGATGCACCCAAGGGTGCTGAGGGAGTTGGCTGATGTGATTGCAGAGCCACTGGCCATCGTCTTTGAAAAACCATGGTGGTCAGGAGAGGTTCCAGATGATTGGAAAAGGGCAAACATAGTGGCCATATTTAAGAAATGGGAAAAAGGAGGATCCAGAGAACTACAGACCAGTTAGTGTCACCTCAGTCCCTACCTGGAAAAATCATGGAGCAGATCCTCAAGGAATCCATTTCTAAGCACTTGGAGAAGAAGGTGATTAGGAACAGTCAGCATGGATTCACCAAGGGCAAGTCATGGCAGACCAACCTGACTGCCTTCTATGATGAGATGACTGGGTCTATGGATGTGAGGAGACCAGTGGATGTGGTGTACCTTGATTTTAGCAAGGCTTTTGATATGGTCTCCCACAGCATTCTTGCAGGCAAGCTAAGGAAGTATGAGCTGGATGAATGGACTGTAAGAAAACTGGCTGTAGCATCAGGCTTAGAGAGTAGTAATCAATGGCTTATGTCTAGTTGGCAGCTGGTATCAATTGGAGTATCCCAGGGGTCAGTCCTGGGGCCGGTTCTGTTCAATGTCTTCATCAACAACCTGGAAGATGGCCTAGAGTGAACCTTCAGCAATTTTTCAGATGACACTAACCTGGGGAAAGTAGTAGATATGCTGGAGGGTAGGGCTAGGATTCAGAGAAACCTAGACAAATTGGGCCAAAAGAAAGTTCATGAGGTTCAACAAGGACAAGTGCAAAGTCCTGTATTTAAGACAGAACAATCCCATACATCAATACAGGCTGGGGGCTGACTTGCTGGGCAGCCGCTCTGCAGAAAAGTTCCTAGGGGTTACAGTGGACAGTAAGCTGAATATGAGTTAGCAGTGTGCCCTTCTTGCCAAGAAAGTTAACGGCATGCTGGGCTGCATCAGTAGGTGTGTTGCCAGCAGGTCAAGAGAAGTGATTATTCCCTGCTATTCAGCACCAGTGAAGCCACATCTGGAGTACTGTGTTCAGTTTTGAGCCACCCACTATAGATTTATTTAATTCTGTACATGGTAGGACAACTTCCTCCAGCTGTTTAGCAAGTACATTTCTGGACTGTAAACTGACTGGGGAGAATGGATATTTTGCTTCTTTTCTCCCAGTTACAGTCATCAAATATTAATTCTTTTTATTGGCATGGACACAGATACTTCACTGGAACATGAGCTCTCTCTCTTCTCAAATGTTCTCTTTACTGTGCTCTCATTCACTGCATTGGCCACCCTCTCATTTTTTTTTTTTTTTACATTTCACTGGACTCAGCCCACAACAGCAGCTCTCCATCATCCCCTTTGCTCACTCATTCCACACACACAGCATTACCTCTATGCCAAAGTCCTCACCCAATTCAAACAAGGGGGAAAGCTTCAAGGCAGTTCATCTGTGGTCATTTACAGGCCTTGATATGACCTGCAGGATAGCTCACACAGCAGTCTGAATGACAAACTTAACAGTTAATATTAGCTCGTTTTAAAAGTCAATAATGCAATCTCTGAATTTCAGTCTAAAAGTAACAGCATGTGAAACATTCTGGAAGGAGAATATTTAAAAAGTATGGTGTTGTATTAGGCTAATGTTTTAATCTCATAATGATCTTAACATCGAACTGTAAACTCTGAAGATGTAAGAGATGTATTAAGACACCTTTCCCTACATCTCTACTGCTAAAACTGTTACCCACACTCTGGGTGCATATAGTCATGCTCTGGGATGGGGGGTAGGTTCCCAGAGAGCTGCTCTAATTAAAATGACTCAGTGTCACATGTATTGAGCCCCCCACATTTCAAAATGGCCACAGGGGCATTTTAACCAAAGCTCAGTCAACCAGTTTTAGATAAAGCACCCCAGTGCCCATTTTTAAACATGAGGAGCTTAATACATGTGATGCTGAGGCATGCTGGAGCGTTCTAATTAGAACATATCAGAGCATGTTTACAGGCGCCCTTTGGGTGCCATCCACAAAGGCTCTATTTTTCTCCTTTCAGTTCCACACGAATCTGAAAGGCCACTGAAAAAAGTTATCTTTCTCTCCTCTTTACTGGCTTCCTGTTTCTTACCAAATCAAGTTGTAATATCTATCCTCACCTCCCAATCCATTTATATATTTCTAATCTCATTTCCACAATTGAACTCTATATTCCTCTCAATTCTTTATCCATTTCCTAAATTCCTCTCAATCCTTTATCCATTTCCTTTTAACCATTTTGGCTTATTTTCTACAGTGCCTCCTACATTCAAGACACCAACTTACTGTTTCCTGAGCAA